CAGCGGCCCAGCAACGCAGGGGGAAGTGCCCCGTGCAGGGTGTCCTAACACAGCAGGAGGCGCCTGGAGTGACAAGTCTATGCATAACGCGGGGACACTTGCTCTCCGACACTTCCCTTTGGGTGAGAAGGGGCTCATCCCCCATGTATCCCTTCCCTGAACCCCTTGCCCACCTCCTCCTGTCTGAAGGCCAAGGGGGGAGAGGAAAGGTCAGGTCCCAGCACGAGGCTTTACGGTCCCCACATCCTTTGCAGGTGCCCTGTTTGGGAATTTGCCTCACAATCAGGATGCTTGGTGTTTTACTGTCATTCTCAGACATGCCAAGGGGTGACGCGTTCAAATCCCAGACACAGATTCTCAGCTGAGGATAGGGGAGAGGATGCTCCGCCGTCTTGCTGGAGCTCAGGTGTTAACACACGTCCTTTCCCCAGCCTGTTGAGGGCCACAGATCAGTATTTGTGTCCTTTCTGATGATTTGCTGTTTCAAGGGTCTCCAGCACGGGGCTCTGTCCAGCATCCTGGGCACAGGAAGACTGTGACAAGCAAGTATGGTGTAGAGGTACCTTGTTCTGAGCTCAGCGCTAATGAACTGACAATGTAGATCAACAGTTCTTTAACAGAGACTCAACCAGGCGTGGTGGTGCACGCCTGTAATCCTAGCACTCGGGAGGCTGAGGCAGGAAGATGGTTGTGAGTTCGAGACCAGCCTGGGCTACAAAGTAAGCTCAAGGCCAGCCTGAATGGCATAGCGGGACCCTGTCTCAAAACAAACAAACAAACAAACAAACAAACAAACAAACAGAGACTCAAACCAGGCCGTGTTGAATACAATAAACAGGGACTTTGGGGAACATGACCTTGTTTCCTCCCGCTTCCTTGAACCCGATCAGCACCCACAGGCTGGCAGTGACGTCTCAGAACACATTTCCTGCAAATAACAAGACTCGATTGGACTGCGGGTGACGGCAGGGCAGAAATGAGACAGACCCCTGCCCAGCGGCCGAGGCCTCCGCTTGAGTGTGACGAGGGGCTGAAGGGGACATTCAGAGTGCTGCCCCATGTGCAGGGGTTTCTCCTGCCCGGGACACATTGTTGACATCCTGGGGGACATGGCGGGAGGCGCTTGGGGAAGGTTTCGGGGCCCTTCTCTCCACACCCCCGTGTCCCTGCTGCGTGTGCAGCTGAGCGCCAGGGACCTGCAGATGACTCCTTCCTTCTGCCCGGCAGCGTTTTACCGACAGCTCCTCCAGCGCCTGGGGGCAGCCACACAGCGCCCCCTAGCTTACAGGCCAGGAAACCGAAGCGCCGTGCAGCCCAGGCCTCCTACAGGCTCCCACTGCAGAGCCCCTCCGTGTGAGAGTACCGGCCACAGGACACAGGCATCTCTGGGTCACACCGACTGCCCACAGTGCGTTCTCATGGCCGCCAGAAGGGGCTGCATCTTTCAGTACCCACCAGCGATGGCCCTCTGATGGCCCAGAGCTGGACTTGCAACTCACATCCCGTTCCTGCTGCTTCTTGTCTGTGCCAGATGGGTTATACACACACGATTCGATCCGTGTGGAGGCCTGGACCCCGAGCTTAGTGTCTGGCCCACTGTGGGCACTCAGTGAGCCTTTGTCATTGTATGAGGGGACATGTCCATGCAAATGCTCAGCCTGGAGTCTGCCACCTGACAGACGTCAACTAGGGTGAGCCACCACCCATCCACAGGGACCAAGCATGCCTGGATTTGAGGATGGGTGGGCTTTGGGCACTAGAGATGCCCCTGACTGGGCGTCTGTTAGTCTTCTATCATTATAGCAAATACTAGAGAAAGATCTGCTTACAAAGAGGAAACGTTTAAACCAGGCATAGTGGTGCATACCTGTAATCCCAGCAGTCTAGGAGGCTGAGGCAGGAGGGTAACAAGTTTTAAGGCCAGTCTGGACAACTTAGTGACTTGGTGGGTCCTTGTATTATAGTTTAGATATAAAAGGTCTCCCCAGACCCTCCTGTGTGTGTGGAAGGTGATTGGGTCGCAGGGATGTTATACTCACCAATGCGTTCATCCATACTAGTAGCTGAATGTGCTGTCAGGAACTGGGGCCTGTGTGGAGGTGGTGACCTGGAATGGTGTGCTGTTGTCCCAGCTCTTCCCTTCTCCCTCTTCTTCCTGCCCACCGTGGAGTGAGCGGCTTTCCCCTGCCATGCCCTTTCACAGCGCCGTTTCTGCCTTGGAGCCAGGTGACCGTAGACTGAACCGACTAGAAACCATGAGCTGAATAAATCTTTTTCCTGCTTTAAGTTGTGGGTGTCAGGTATTGTGTCTCAGTGATGGGAAAGTTGTTAACACACCCTATCTTAAAATAAAGGATAAAAAAATGGCTGGGGTATAGCTCAATGAAACGCTCTGGGTTTAAACCCTAAAACCAAAGAGGGTCGGAAAGAGGCAAGGTTTATTTGGGTCATAGCTTTGCAAGTTTCAGTCCCTGGTTGAGTGGCCCTACTGCTGTGGGCCCGCAGTGACACATGGTGGAGGAAGCCACTGACCTCATGGCCGGGTGCAAAAGGAAGAGGGTGAGAACAGGGTCCTTCAGTCCCCTTGAAGGGCGGATGCTGTCAATGACCTCAGATCGCCCCTGGGGCCCCACCCCTTAGAGGTTCCACGTCCTCCCAACAGCCCCAATCTGGGGGCCAAGGCTTCAACACACAGGCCTTGGGAAAACCCCAGACCCAAGCTGGGGCAGAGAGTACAGCTCAAGGTTTTCTTGCTTCATCATTTTTTGTGGCGCATGGTTTTGTTCCAGACTTAGCACTATGGTGCCTTTGACCTGGAAGGAAACCAGGCGTCACTGCCCCTTTCCCAGGTGTGAGGAGGAAGCTGCAGATGGTGCAGGCCACCGAGGGTGGATTTTCCCCTTCTTGGGGGAACTTGGTCCCACTCGCTGTTTTGCATGCCTCCCTTGTAGGTAGGTGCTCTGAGCGGGCCAGTCCCGGACTCTCTCTCCTGTCCTCTTGCTCTGAGCTCCCTTCTCCCACAGCAAAGCCAAGAAGATACAAAAGCAGGGTGAGGGGAGAGGGTTTCCTTTGTGCCACTCAGTTTCTCTGGGATGTCTTTGTTTTCTGCATTCTGGGCAGGGGCTTGTCTGCTTGTCCGTGAGGGGCAGGTAATGAAGGCCAAATCAATCAGGTGGGCTGTGATCAGCAGAGGGGGATGTCGCCTGCGGTGACCTGTTTGGACCCCGAGAGTGGGACATGTGGTCGGGGCAGGGCTGGGGGTCCCAGGTCCCACCCAGAGCATTGCTGTGAGGGTTCACAAAGAGCCTCAGAGGCTCATGATGGAGTCTCTTGTGGCTCCTCAGCCCACAGGCTCCAGGCTGGTGTGTTTGGCTGCCACAGGTGCCAGGGCCTCCTGGGCTTCTGAGGTCGACCCCATCCCGGTGAAGGAGCAGAGGGTGCTATGGGCAGGCCGTGGCGGAGGGAGGCAGCGACACTGGCCACACGGAGGGCCCTTTTTGAAGAATCGCCCTCTTAGACCTTGCAGCGGAGTAATGTGAGGGTTGGGCACAGCTACGCGAGGAACAGCTCCCTTCCCCAGGCACTCCAGTTCCTCCATGGAGTGGCCGGTCACCCGTGCTGTCTGAAGGACCTCCAGCACGCAGCAGGGAGCAGGCGGTTCTCACACTCTTCAGGCAGTGATAAGCGGGGAGGTTTGGTCACAAGGCAAACAGGGGTGACACTGGGACACAGGGTGTGAAGGCGAAGGGCTCTGGGCCCTGGAGACAGTGCTGCACACACAGGCCCCGGTGTGGGAGAAGAGAGGGGATGCTCTCCCATGGGCTCCTGGTCTCCCATTGTGTGGGGGCTGTGAAAGCTGCTGTTGTTTACGGCGCTGACCCCCTGGCCCAGCCACACCTCCCGTAAGAGGCCGGGGCAGGTGATGGTGGACAGGACGGGCGGCGGAGTCCCACTGCGTGGGGAGCCGGCAGCCACGCTTCTCTCTCCTTTCCTACTGTCGCCTTCCCTCTGCTGCTTGGGAGGCGGCTCATGTGGGAGCCTGAAGGGTTTTCCGCTCCACTTGCTGCGATGGACGGAAGTTCCCAGAAACTCCTAAGCTCAGGCTCTCCTGCCTGGCACGGAGTGAGGAGCAGGAAATGCTGATGGACGCCCATGCCAGGAAATGGCCCTTGATAACGCAGGACTGATGTAGGAGCAGAGACCTGGAAGCCGGCTGGCATTATCTTTTGTTTGGCTTTCCCCGCTGGGTTGCTCTTGGCAGGGTGGGGGAGGAGGAGTGCGACGGGACAGAGGCCAGTTGCTCATGAAGTTGACAGCCAGGGATTGTCGCTCAGCCAAAGTGAAATCGTGTTCCTGAAAGTCCTTTCCAAAGTACAAGGCGTCATGTTGGCTAACAGTGAAATGACTGGGAACCAGCAGAGGTCTGAGCTTCAGGACAGGGTCTGCACCAGGCTGAGATCGCCCGGAAGTAAGAGGACTGCAAGAACTCCAGGCGACAGCTCTGCTGGCTAGACGTCTCCTGAGCCCGCGTCTCAGGCGGGGCCTGGCTGGAGGTGGTCCCTGGGGTGTGACCTGAAAGGGTGCACTCTGGTCCCTGGCTCCGGCCTTCTCTCTCCGCTTCCTGGCTGCCATGGACTGAGTAGCTGTCCTCTGCCAGGCCCCTCTGCCAGGATGTGTCTGCCTCAGGGACAGTGACCCTGGACTGAATCCTTTGAACCTGTGAGCTGGAGTAAACCCCTCCTTCCTGGGTACTGTGTCCGTTCAGGGAGAGCTGACTGGGACAGTGGGCCATCAGGAGATGTAATTGGTTGGGGTTTACAATCCAGAGTGTTTGTATGTAAACAGGGCAGGTACTGGGATTTAAATCCGGCTTTCCACACAACTAAGTTTGTGTTGGTTTTGCCTACGTTGTTAACCCCGTAACTTCCCTTGTCTCCCCCTCCCTTGCTCTGGGTCTTTGTAACGAAACTGAGGCCATCTCGGAATTCTGTTTTCTCCAGGGCAGAGGATGTGATGAAGTTAAGGATTGTGGGGAGGAGCTTATCCTGCATTATCCCCCTGGGTCCTAAAAGCCTCATTTGTGTCTTCGTAAGAGAGAGGCAGGAGAAGGTGATGCTGGGCCACATGAAGATGGAGCAGATTCAGATGAGGCCACAGCAAAGGGACGCCAGGAGCCAGGAGACGCTGGCTGAGACAAGGGTGCATCCGTTCCCAGAGCCTTTGGAAGGAGTGTGGCTGCCACCCGGACTTTGGACTTGTGGCCTCCAGACCGAGGAGGCCACCCAGCGTGTGGCGCTTGGCCAGCTGCCCCGGGGGCACAGACATGGGAGTGCTGACCTCTGCACCTCTGATCTCCTGCTGTCCCGGCTGGTGTTTGCTGCTCTCCTGCCCACCTGGCCGAGCACATTCCCCACGTCTCTTCCGTGCCCGTCTCTGTGCCCAGACACCCAACAGGTACTGTTACCCCGCCCCCTCCAGGGTCAGACTGGGTCCCGTGGGGTGCAGTCTGGACGCTGGGCTTTTGGCAGCTCTGTGGAGACTCAAATCTGGGTCCAGACTGGCCCCACATCCCCTCAGTGGGGTGCCCTGTGGTCCTTCCGCTCAGAGCAGAGGTGGTGACCTGTCCTGTCTGCATTTTCCCAGCACCTATGCCTGCGCAGGTGACAGGCATATCTCTCAGGGGACACTGAGGCCCCATTAGGCATCACCAAGGGAAGCACTCTATTTAATTAATTACTCTCAACTTTCTGAAGGGGGCTGAGCTGCCTCATCCACACACACAGACCCAACCTCGCCCCTCTTCCCTACCCTTGACCCGCAGAAATCAGGAAGAGCACTGGTTTCCAGATTGAGCTTCTGCTGTTCATGGAGGGGAAACAGTGGCTGGGATCCAGGAGAAGTGGCCCTGAGCCACAGCTGTGGGGCCCTAGGTCTCATCTGCCCCATACGGGAAACCTACTCTTCTTCCTTTTCCTTGCAGCGAGCTGTCCCCAAAGGTAAAAGCAAGAAGCATATCTGTCACCGGGCACACACTGTCCCCAGCTGCTGCGTGTGTGGAACACCCTCCTCGTGGGCAGCTGCATGAGGGACAGACAAGAGCTCTGAGAAGGGACCGTCCTCCTGGCCCCAGCTCCTCAGACAGCGAAACTTTCCATTTTCAGGGTCCATCATGCACCAGTGAGTCAAGTCATTGTGGTGTGGACATGGGGACAGACAGACTGGTCAGCAGGACAGAACAGGAATCCCAGAGATATCCCCAGATCATCTTTGTCAAAGGCACAAAAATGCATCAGCAGGAAAGACAACAATGGTACTGGGCAGACACCCACGGGCAAAATGTGGGCCTTGACCTGTGTCTCACGCCTTGCACAGAAATTAACTCGGGGCTGGTTGCAGATTAACTGCAAAGGGTAAATGATAAAACTTAACAAAAATTCACAGGATCCCAGGTTAGGGGGAAATTTTAAATATGGCAATGGAGGTACAACCCACAAGAGGAAAGATGGGTGAACCAGACTTCAAAATTAAAACTTCTGCTCTGGAAAAAGTCTTGTGCAGTGCTGGCTTTGACACACATATACTAAAAAGCCTTGCACCCGGGGTGAAAGGCCATGCTGCAGAGGATGAGGGTGTTTGCAAACCACTTACCCGACGAAGGACAGGAACCTGGAATATGCAGAGAACTCTCAGAACCCAGCACTTGGGAGGCTGAGGCAGGAGAATCACTGTGAGTAGAGGCCAGCCTGAGCTACATAGTCAGTTCAAGGCCAGCCTGAACTACGTAGCGAGACGCTGTCTCAAGAAGAACTCTCAGAAGTCAACAGCAAAACCAGCTGGGCGTGGTGGTGCATGCCTGTAATCCCAGCACTCGGGAGACTGAGGCAGAGGATCATTGTGAGTTCGAGACCAGCCTGGGCTACAAAGTGAGCTCAAGGCCAGCCTGAACTGCATAGCGAGACCCTATCTCAAAAAGACAAAATAAACCCCAAAAAACAGTCAACAGCAAAAACCAAACAAGTCAGCTGGAACCTGGGCAAAACACAAGCAGACACTTTGTCAGAGGGGACTTAGAGATGGCAGATAAGCACAGGGAAATGCAGGTGAATACCACCAGGAGACACCTCCTTTCATCCCCCCCAAGTGGCTAAAATGCACCAGGAACAGCCCCAGAGGCCAGTGGCCATGTGGCACCACACTGGGTCATTCTTGGGGGCGTGGAGAATGACACAGCCCCTCTGGAATAGAGCTCGGCATTTTCTTAGAGAACTAGCCACGCACTCTCCACAGTCTAGTGATTATGTTCCTGGGCGTGTGTCCCTGAGAGATAAAGACTTGCGTTCATACAAAAACTTCTATGCCACTGCTCGGGGCAGCTGCATTTACAATCACCCCCAGCTGGAAGCAGCCCCCAAATCCTTCCACAGGCCTGTGGTCGGCTACAGAACAGTTCATCCGCCGTGGCATGGATATATCGCAAGAGATTTACGCAGAGTAGGAAATGGCCGGCGTCAAAAGCCGCCCTGCTGGGTCGTTCCACTTACACAGCACTCTTGAAAGGACATAGTGACAGAGACAGAGGGCAGGACGGTGGGTGCTGGAGCTGGGGTGGTCACATGGCCAAGGTGGGCTTTGCAGCCTTGTGCTGGAGGGGGGGGCTGCTGGCGGGGGGGGGGGAGGCGTCACGTGGCCTGCAATGTGATGGGATTACACAGACCAAAGTACTCAAGGACCTGGGCACGAAGGCTGAAGAATGTCACAGTCCTCATCACTGTCCAGAAAGCAGCGGGACCGGGCTTCCCTGGTGTGGCAGGAGAGGTGGGACTGGGCTTGGACCTCACATGCCGGGCTGTGGTCCCAGGAGGGGCCGAGGCCTCAGCTGAGGGCTGCAGCCTCCGCCAGCATGGCCGTCGCGCTGCCCTTGGTGCAAATCCCATGTGCAGGCCGTGCTCACTGCAAAGGGATGGAGGAAAGTGTTTCACAGCTTTGTGAAAATGGGCTTCTCGCCCAAGTATGTTGAGTGGGCTGGAGGAGAGGCCTCTGTTTAAGGCCCTTGGGAGACAGAGTGGCTGCTGTCTACTGCGTCCTGGGGACACTGAGCGGGTGCCTTCCGGTCACAGAGGGCTGGGGCTGACTGTGTGAGCTGGTGGGGAGCCGGCAGGGCCTTTCCTGGATAGGAAACTGACCCTCACAGGGCTGCAGTCCCTGAGGGAGCTCCGTGCTTCAAGCTCAGGTTCTGCACGGTCTGTCTGTCCACCCGCAGGGATGTCTGCCCGTACACCTGTCCACCTGTGTGTCCTCTAGGGTTGTGCGGGACAGGAAGGCGGGGCTGAGTGTCCTGACACGAGAGGGACGAGCTCCAGCCCAGGTTCCTGGGCAAGGCTGGTAGGATGGGTTTGTGGAGCCCTGGCCTTCGGGGGTGATCTCTGAGGTTCCTGTCACCTCCGCTGAGTCTCATGCCCCTCCCCCGAGGCATCAGGCTTTGGCCCCCTGTCAGGCATTCTTCCCTCAGCTCTGCTTCCACCGGATCTGCCCCAGAGCAGCAGAGCAGCAGAGCGCCTCCCCCTCGGTCCCAGCAAGTGTCCATCCATGGGAGTGTGTGTCAGGGCCGGGGCTGGGCCCAGGCCTGGCGGGGACTTGGCTGGCCATGTGACTGAAGAGCAGAGGCCCATGCCCCTGCCCAGGTAGCCCCCTTCTTGGCTCTGCGGGGCTCTGACTGTGGGGTTTCTGTTTCGGTATTCAGTGGCGGCCCCTGGGGACCGGATGTGTACTGCTGGCCTGAGAGTGAGACAGGGCCCGCACCTCGGCACGTACCATGGCCCTTGCGTCCTCCCTTGAGCCCTTTCTAAGTGGAAAACATTCTCAGTGTCCGCTCTCCTGCCCGGAGGCCCGTGTGTGCCCTAGGGAAGCGGCCATGTCAGTCTCACCGGAAGTGGGTCCAAACTCCTGCATTCCCGAAGGTCCCGTGGGGTCTGGCCTGGACTTTCCAGGCCCAAGTCCTCTGCACTCAGGTGCAGTGAGCAGTGCTGCTACGTGACTGTCCTCACGTACACAGCCCTGTGTGTGGGGTGTGAGCCACGTCTGCCTGGACCGGTCATCTGAGACAGGCCGGTGACATCAAAGCTGGCACGGGTGAGCAACGCTGCATTTTGTCCTCATAGTGTCAGGGAGGCAGGGATTCTGGGGACCCCCTGGTTTCCAGTTGCTGGAATTATCCCAAGCCTGGCGTGTCAGTGTGGCCCCGGGGGAGCTGTGGGAGGCCAGCTCGTCAAGGCAGACGCATGGCCCACAGCGAAGCTCTGGAGCGCCCTTACAGTGCAGTGCTCTGGAGAGGTCCAGCCCACGGTGGAGTGGATGTGAGTCCACAGGGCGGGGTCAGTGGGGCGCCGGGCAGTGACAGCGCCTGTCACAATGACTCTTGCTCCTGTTGGGGGCGCTCGGGGTGCACCTCCCATGTCCCTCAGCTTCCTGGGCACCAACGTGGGGTTGCCAGAGCCAGTCCTGCTTGTGCCCTTACCACCCAAACCTCACCAACCAGCAAGTGGCATGGAAGACAGCTCTTGGTCCTCCCCAAGGCCACAGTAGGGACATGTCCCAGGTGTCCCCTCTGCTGACAGGGCAGGATGGGGAGCTCCAGGACAAGGGGCAGGGACAGTCCCCAGAGGGGCTCTGGGCTCTGGCTGAGGAGGTAGGAGGAAGCCTGAAATTGCTAGTGTAGAGGCCCCAAGCTCCAGGCTGCCACCTGCCTGTCCCTCAAGTTCTCTCATTAGCCCAGGACATGACCTATGAACATGACCCACTGTGGAGGAGGGGTTCTGGGGGCCCTGGAGGCGTCCTGGGGTTCTGCTGCTCGCCGGTCCCCTGAGGGGCAGGGTGCTGTGTAGAGGCACCCTCTGGGTCCCTTTGGACTGGGGCACAATGAGGTGGGGCAGCTGGCCCAAGCCTCCCAGTGTACCATGCGTGGCTTCTGCCTCCTGGGACCCTGCAGGGAGGAGAGGCTGGGGAGCAGAGCAGCTCAGAGCAGCTCAGCCAGGGAGCGCCGTCTCGGCTCTCCTCGCTTCAGTGGCCGTGAATGTCCCTTGACGTCATCGCAGCCCTTTCAGCCTCATCCAGCATGTCTGCTCCAGGGCGCCGGCCCCTGCCGGGCCACCCACCCACCCCGCACAGACAGCAGCCTGGGTCCTGTGTCTGCGGCTCTCACCAGCCCTGGGAGAGGCCTGGGGGGCAGGGTGCGTGTGTAGGAGTGTGTGTGGTGCATGTAGGTTGCGTGCATGTCTGTGGCATTTGTGTGGTGTGAGTGGATTATGTGGGCATGGGAGTGTTCCTGTGCTGAGGGTGCAATATGTGTGGTGTGTGCATAGTGTACTTGTGTGAGTGTGTGTGTGTGTGTGTGTGTGTGATCTCTGTATTTTTGGCCCTGTAATACACATTATGTAAAATTAATTCAATTCTAGTCCTATTCTTTTTGTTGTTGTTTGTTTTTGAGACAGTTCTCACTTTATATTCCTAGCTGGTCTTGAACTCACTCTGTAGCCCAGGCTGGCCTCCATCTCAAGGCAATCTTCCTGCCTCAGCCTCCTGAGTGCTGGGGTTACAGGCGTGCACTACCACACCCAGCTTCTGGTCTTGTCTTGCCATAGTGTTTCATTGATTGCTTTTCCCCCTTGCATTTCTATTCCTGGGATGCTCTGCGCATCCCTTGGGCACTCAGTTTAGGAGATGCTGCTCTGGATCGACCCAGCAAGCTATGGTCATGATGATTTTGCCAACTGACTCCACCTCCTCTAGACAAGAGAGAGCCCACCTGGAGACTCTGGGAGTCTCCTCGAGGCTCATGCCAGCCCTGTCCACGCTGGAGCTGTGTGAGGAAGCAGAGTAGCACCTGGGCAGTGGGCCTGGTTCCTGCTGTTCAAGCCTCCGGGTGACTGCTATAGGGTGGAGGCAGGGGACAGTGCCCTGTAGCGTTGCATTGCTCATCCTCCCTCCAGCCCTCATCACTAGGCATGGTCTGGGCACTGTAGATATAGGAGGGCAAGAGGCTTTGAACGGCATTGCAGATAGATCTGTGGATGAGGAGGGATTTGGTCTTTGGGGGCATGACCTTGGGGACTATGTCCCAGCCCCCTTCTTTCTCTCTGCTTCCTGGCTACCAGGAGGTGAGCGGGTGTCCTTCACCATGCCTGCGTCACCATGAGCTTATGTTTCACTTGGGCCCAGAAACAAAGGAGCCAGCCGACCATGGACTGAGACCTCTGAAGCCGTGAGTCAAATGGAATTTTCTCCTCTAAGTTGCTTTGCTCAAGTATTTCGTCACAGTGGCAGAAAGCTAGCCCAGAGGCTCAGGATAGTTCCAACCCTGAAGGAAATATACACATGCAGAGATGTGGCTCAGTGGAATATGCCAGGGGCTCAGGGTTGACTTGTGTCCTCTAAAATGGTATAACAAGTCCTAGAAAGGTGACCCTACTTGGAGATGAGATCTTAAAGAGTTGATGAAGGTGAAAGGAGGTCATTAGGATGGGCCCTGATCCAGTCCAACTGAGGAGATCA